GATAGCCGAAAAATTCGCACGAATACTTTCGCAAAAACGCAACGTGGCAAGACAGCTGAAACAGATGAAGAGGTTCTGTCTGTTTTTTTGCCGCTCTGTGTGCCGTTTCCTGCCTGTTTCACACAGTTCCGCGTTTTGCGTTTGTTTGTGTTTTACAAAGTCTTCGTAGGTCCCCTCTCCTAAAGCTATGACTTTTTCTTTCGCCACTTACAGAATCAGCCCTCATCTTCCGCGATAACTGATTATCAACTTACACGCCTTGTGCACGACTATCGGACAATCAACCTTTTAAGCACACAGGCTCCGAATTTGTTTATCACGACTTCCATATCAGGAACAGTAAAAATCATTCTCCTTACTGCAACGGTAAGTCGAGGTTAAAATTGAACATCTACTTATCCTTTGCTTTTAACAACTAGGCACAACAGAGAAAAGTTCTGTAAGGCGTAGCTTTCTTTCCTATTGATGACCCCTTTTATTCTTGTCTAAGGGTATAGAACATATCGAAGTTTTCAGTCCTGAGATGTATAAAGGCAAGACACGTCCCTGTTTGAATAATTATCAGCGCGCTGCCAGGTCAGGCACAGGGAGAACAGTGACATCTAATGTATTACCGGCAAACGTTAGGACTGCAGTATATGCGTATTTCTAGTTAATTAGCTGTCTTCAGCTGCAGATTCCCAACTCCAGTATAGCCACAGAAACTGCCGCTACACTCGAGTTTCGAACTCGCGACCAGTGAGGTAGAGACGAACGTCCTATCCACTGCCGGTTGTTGATCGGGATATAGATTAGTACACATGTGTACACCGACCTGGTCCAGGATACACCAACCCTGGTTGTTTCGTCTGGCGAGGGACTTGACAGATCGGTGTACACCAATGTATTAATCGATATCCCGATCGACAACCGGCAAGACGTCGACCCGATGGCTCAGTGGATAGGACATTCGTCTCAAGCTCACTGTTCGTGGGTTCGAAACTGGAGTGTAGTGGCAGTTTCTGTGGCTATACTGGAGTTGGGTATCTGCAGCTGACGATAGCTAATAACCTAGAAATACGCGTATCCTGCAGTCCTACCGTTTGCCGGTAATACATTGGTTACTTAAAAATAGCGAATAACCTAATTGCTTCGTCCTTGAGAGATAAACTTGAAGTGTCAAGTCCCTCACCAGATGAAACAGCCAGGGTTGGTGTATCTTGGACCAGATCGGTGTACACCGATATGCTAACATTGACATCTGTTCCCTATAAATGGCCTCAATAAGCATATAGTCATGTTTTTTTAAAATTGTATGACGAATAAAATAGTCGTCCAGTTTACTCATGGACTGTTTTTTCCGCCCTTCTCATTTTTGAGAACGGTTTAGTCATTAATAGGGCACAACAGAGTGACCTTAATAATACTGAAAAGGCTAGCTAACGAATCACGTGGCACCTTCAGCTATCTTCACCTACTTTCCCTCTTCGAACCAGTTTTTCTGAAACTAATTTCGCTGTCATCTCCTTCGTACAAAACGTAAACAGTTTGCGTTTTTTACCCTATTTACCCTTAATCGACGCTGCCAGTTTGCTTCTTCAAGATTCTACTGGATAGAATCCGAATGCGCAACTCCTCCTCTGCATACTTTGATGCTGATACACTGGTGCACGAACAGCTAACTTATTTTGTTGGAGAAAAATCAAGCAAATATTTTATTTCGTAAAAGCGATTCGAAGCCATTAGTAACTTAGTGGTAAATTGAGTGAAACTGCTTCAAAATATTAAATAGGTTTTATATACGAATATCTATGATTAATTACCACCACGTTGTCAAAATAAATTATCGCAAATTGATCAATGGGATTGTCGTAATTTGTCTGCTAGAAGATGCCAAGATGTAATACTCCCATAACCAGGTATCAAATATTAAACTACAAAAAGTGAAGTGCGCAAAAGATATTTCCGTACATCGCCACTTATTGCACAAACGAATTCTACCGACAAACAAACCACATTACAAACATTGTTGAGTTAAATTCAACAGAAAAAATTTCACTACCAATGGCAAATAGGCGAGCACCGATCGGTTACGGAACTCATTCCTCACGTTGTGCCTTAGAGGTCGCTCTCGAGCCTTACCGGCAGCTGCTCAATGACTGTCACATTACTGACAAAGACGAAAGAGATTGGAATCGCCATTTCTGACTTATTAGCCAGCACCAGCTAGCCATGCTCGATCTCGTGTGTCGTGGAATCCGAGACTAGAATCTGCAACCTGTTGGCTCCATCCACTGCATCATAGGCTTGTTGCCTTGCCGAGTTCGATCGAGAATATTTAAAATGGTGAATAGGAACTCATTTACCATCCATTTACATCCATTTCGACGCACTATTGGTCTTGCGCGATGAAATAGGATTCAATGTTTGGAAGCTTCAGATGACTGCCCACCCTGATCCAAATGCAACTCTCGTTCTTCTTAGATCCAGGTTAGTTCGAAGTTAGTGAGGGAGGGGCACACGGGACACGACTAGATGAATCCTTTATGTTGCTAATAGAAGTAAACGGGCGAGATCGAGGAAATATTTTGGAAGAAGATGCGAGCTTTGGAATAGAAAGGTCATTCGCTTGACCTTTTGGATTCTCACTTGAACCCAACATCCCGATGGCACCTCGTGGCTCAGGTAATTAAAGCGTTCACGGTAATAAAGCCTTTACCTTACTGCCGTGGATTCAAGTTCAGCCGAGGCCGCCGAGTTTTGTACAATTGGTTTAAATGAATTGTTTAAATCTGCCAACCACAGCCCCTCTATTAGTTTTGCGCAGCTGATAGTCGTCTAGTCGATTCTAGATTTAATGGTTAGACAATACTACTCGGCTTACTCTATCAGAATTGCTGGATTCCATATGCTGAAGTAGGCTAGGTGGGTAACTTAACTCAAGTGTGATCAAACTCACAGTTCCCGGTAGTCGGAATGTTCCTTAATTTAAATTCATACGCTGGTAGACGAAGTTGTTAAATTGTTAACAGAATTCTAACTAGATGAGTTTTTTGTGGAATTTCAAGACTGTGGATCTGGCCTCGTAGTGTTACGTCGTCTCTTACTCAGTCTGTCTTACTTAGCTCATAAAATTTATTCGACTTCATATTCAGGGAGTCAACGAACTTCAGAGCCTGCACATGCATCAGTGCAGTGGAGCCGGTGTTATCGAGGCAGCCATCACACCGGATATGGAGATGCTGGTCTCTGGCGGATCAGACGGTCTACTCTGTGCAATCCCATTGGCGTAAGAATTTCCCTGACCATCCGTTTTTCAAATCAGCTCCTTTGTTCCCGGCGCATTCATTTTGTGAATTTAAATAAGCATACCTCTCCTGCAATAAGTGTACACTATGCCATGAAGAGTTTCTTCGGTTTCTGAAATAAGACTTAATTCTGTAATGTTATCCTTCCACGTCCCCTTTTTCAACTCTTCTGTGTGTCTTTAGTCCGATTATCACACGCCTGTTTTAGTTCTTCTAAGAAGTCTGTGGTAGGGATCAGTTAAATAACTCTCTGAGGATTATTTCGAGTTGATTGTATTAATTCTTACCGACTAAGGGGCCTCAAACACTCACGTGTTTTACTTGAATGTGCGTGGCTGCCTGCTCATATACTAAATTTTGTCTGGCGAAAGGGAACATGGCGAGTCTACCAATATGGACAGAAGTATTTATTTTCGCTGTATTAGTGGCCTAGTTTGTTGGATATGTGCCATAATTACTTAAAGGTCGCTCAATAGATTTAGGGAGCGTCTGTTCTATGTTTATTTTATTTACTTGATTGAATTCAGGTCGTTCGGTCAGAAAAATCATAATGATTATGCACACCAATTAGCACTCGGCGACTGTACATAAGGTCAATGCTGCTGCTTGAACCACAACCCCACTTATCATGCAGTATCAATGGAAGTGTCAAAATAAACACTTAAACAACTACTTCGTGCTGAAAATTGGTATATTTTTCGCACAGAGTTCTGCATGCCCCATGTACTATAGCATATAGCACATCTATCTAGCACTACACAGAGCCCCGACTTTTCATAATCGGAAACTACTATTACTACCTGTGTATGCTTGAGTCCGGTTTATTCAGGTGTTCGTTCAACACCACCTGCATATTTGACGGTGCGCAATTACCTTTTGCTGAGGGCCTGTGGAATCGACATGCATGAATAGCTCGACGGTTCCTTCGTGCTCTATCTTGAGACTATGTGCAATCCTGCTTGCATGGTGGGCATCCTTCTTACCCCTAGCCTCTATTTTATCCTCAGGATTTGCATAACCCTTGCTGAATCTTACATGTGAGTATCCGATACTAACTATTATTGTTCCTACTAGTATTCATCCTTTGAGCTAAGGCGGGGCTTATTGAATGACTTCACTCGCTTCAAAGCTAGTCTTCGATTTGTATCTTCGCATATACTGACCAGACGGAAGTTTATGACAAGCCTTGCCATCGTTAGTGCGTGTGATTCAATTCTCTTTACTGCTTAATATTTCATTGGTTTTCAGGAACAACCTCCCCAAGGTACCTAGCGATGTTGTAGAAGCTCTGGCATTAAATAGCAAGGGCAAGTTAAAGGCACTTCAAGATTTCCAAGCATACGTTCCCGTAGACCAGTCTGCCAACGCCTACACTGGTTCTAGAGACGACCGCGAGGACACCCAACTGAACTTCAACCAGAACGCAGGTGAAGACAGTGCCAGCAAGAGCCGGTCGAAAAATACGCCTGCTGGAAAGACGCGTGGTGGAAGTAGGCAACAACCGAAAAAGTCCATAATATCTTTCGAGGCCTTCATTCCGAAGGACCTTGAGGAAACCAACGAAGAAAGCGAAGCACAAGACCCTACCTGGCTCGAGGAAGAGATGTTCAAACAACAGAGGGAGGACGTAAAGACACTCACTTCAACAAAGGAGCAGATCGTTGCCGAATTAGAACGACTAAAATCTGCGGCAAGTCACAAATATTAAAAAATCTTTTCTACTGAATGAATTTAGTAACAATTTAATTAAGGTACAAATGTGGTCGAAAGTTGAAAATAACCGTTACTTTGCCTGGGCCTTCGGCCTTTTACTCGATTCCATCAATATACCTAAAACTACAGCAAGGATATGGGTGCTTTTTAGCACAGTAGGTCCACTACCCGATCAGTTTTGTAACTCCGGATGAAGTTGTGCATAGCTAATGTTGGCGGCGGAAAATCAATATCCCTAATGCTCGGGTTGTTGCCGAAACTTCAGTCATTTCACTGCTTCTTTAGAGTTGTACCTCGAAATAATCTTTGCGGCTGCAAAAATGAAGGACTAGCCTGCCTCGAGGATGTTGTTGGCGGTTTGTGTCGATGGCTCACCGCCTTGTGCAGCGTCGCGTCACGTAAGTGCGACCTGGTCCTGGGCCGTTTAATTACAAGTACAACAAATACACTATGTATGGTA